TTGCTCCACCACTTTGAGACCTCATATCGCTGGTACGGAAAAGTGCCGGAAGATACTCAGCATTTGATTAAGATTGTACTTTTGGATTGCATTAAATCAAGTCGAAGATGACAAGATTACAATATTTTAAAAAGTACTTTTTAAGCATTTTCTTTGCGTATTAAATAGAGGATAAATAAATATTAAGTAGCGCCACCTGTATAAGTCAAAACTACATTTATTATTACACTACTGTTTATTATACAATATTTCTTTAATATCGTTTATATTCTTTATCGCTTTACCTACCATATTACTCGTCATTTGATCAACGATTAGATTATTGTTGACACACATTTTCAATTAGTAGTTAGGTAAGTTAGTTTTTTTCCAATTAATTTATCTTTACATCTAAGACAAATATCTTAAACACTCAATCTACTACAAGTTTATAAAGTTTAATGGATACCTAATGTTAATTTAAAAACTAGACTGATATTTACAAGTAATTAAGTTATTTCAAAATTTCGATACTGCGTAAGACCAATCAATAATAAAAAAAAATATTTTAAGAAAGTTTCTCAATCACGAATCTAAAAATTTCAATTTACGACCGTCCTTCGTTAAATCAATTACCATTAGCAGATAAAAAGATATTTCCACGACATTAAAGACTTAAAGGCGTGATGCACTCACCAGAATCCGAAATCGATTCAAGGCCAATTATATTATCGACACAAAAATTTACGATGTTACAACACTGTCCATTACAAGACTCTACCTAAAACAAGTTGAAACAGTACTTGCCACAGTAGTTGCCACAAAATTCTTATTAATTTATTTAATTTACTGTGGACTTAGGCTTTACCCAAAATGTACATCAGCAACAGATGTACCTACATACTACAACAATTGAACATTTAAAGAAAGATTAAAAGCTGAATGGACAAAGAAAATTATTTACCTACCTTTTTATTACAAAATTGGTTAAGATGACAATAACGCTGGCTTGCACTATCTTACTTTAACTTTGACAAACGTCAAAAATCTGTCAAACTCCATACAAAAAACATCGGTTATCGTTATTGTTACGGTCAAAGTTAGGCGGTGCAACTCAGCCTTACTGAATTAAACTCTATTATACCAATACTTTGATATCACCAACGACTATTAGTAGGAAATAAGTACATACTCGAAATCGAAACCCAATAAGTCTCGGAACTGGTAGTTAGATTTTATTGGACATATTTTACGGTGACCTAATGATCCTAAAACTGTATCCGATACAACCAAATGTCATGCATTATGCATGCTCCCTAGCCCTTTAGTGTAGGGCTGCCACTGCTAAGAACTTTCAAGTTGCAGTTTGATAAGCTTTTTTTTTCTTTGGAAAAGTCAAAATTGTATCCTCGATTTAATGTAGATTCCATTCAGTCAATAAATTAGAAGAGGATCCATAATTAATTAATTATTATAGTAGGTACAGTTTTCGAAAATGTAAACCTGAAGTACTTGACCTAAAGTTAACTTTAGAACGAGTATCTCTAAAATTCTATGAGGGAAAGAAAAGTTTTGTGATTAAGAAAAAGAAAACCTTTTGTGTATATTCCGCATTTCTTTTTCAGCACTCAAAGTGGTTGTAGATCAAGCTTTATTTGGGATATATTATAAGTAGGTAACACGTGCCCTGCAAAGGCCCTATTTATAAAGAATTTGAATTGTTCTTGAGTACAACCCTACCTACAAACCAGCCCGTTTATAACCCGTCTAATTTTAAGTGTCCCCCATCAGAAACAAGATACTAGACCCACAAGACTCCCCATCTGGGCGGGTTGCGTGACTGGTTCCGTAGTATGTGGGATGGCACTAGGGCCAGGTCGCTCGCGATCAACAACTATCTGTTTTGGGCCAATTTGCTACTGTTTCGTTGACGAATCTATTATTGAGTTGTCAATCCCAACTAATATTATAAATGCGAAAGTAACTCTGTCTGTCTGTCTGTCTGTTTGTCTGTCTGTCTGTCTGTCTGTCTGTCTGTTACGCTTTCCCGCTTAAACCTCGCAACCGATTTTGATTAAATTTGGCATAGATATAGTTTGAGTCCTGGGAAAGAACATAGGATAGTTTTTATCCCGGTTTTTGAAACAGGGACGCGCGCGATAAAGTTTTTCTGTGACAGACAAAATTCCACGCGGGCGAAGCCGCGGGCGGAAAGCTAGTGTAGGTAATAAATTTATTATTAAAATGGTTTCTAGGAATTTTGCTTAGCTAGCCCTGTTGTGTTGCCTTGCTCTTGAAGGGCATTACAATTTTATTATCTGCCTAGCTTTATTATTTCCTAAGGAGGAATTAAATAACAAGTAAATTAATGTTATATTGGGTTAGCCTGTGAAAATAGTAAATGTGTGTGTGTAAATTAATAAATAAATGACATAGAGAAAAAGAGGCATTGAAACTCTATAAAATGTTCCCTCCTTATTTTCCTGATCATCAAAATCCTTTCCAAATTCCGATATTAGGCAATTTTCCTTAAATTCCCGTTTCCCCGTTTTTAACGATACAGGCAAGAGGCATATCGTAGCCATAAAAAAATAATTAAAAAAACTCTATAAAAGGAAATAAACAGCTATTTAAAAGTAATCAACTAGTAAGAAGCGTAGGTAGTTATCCTAACACTTTCAACTTTGGAGTTTGGAACTTTCTGTGAGTCAGCCAAGTGAAAAATATTTTCATTGTTTAGACGTAGACATTTGTATTTAAATCGTAAACAAGCCATTCTTGAATTTACTTACAATATAATACATCCCTGATGAATATGCTTGCAGCTTCTTCTGCGCATAACAGAATAGAAGTTATTGATATAGATCCCGACAACACAAAAGTACACAAAAAAGTTAAGCAATAAATAAGAAACAGACAAAGAAGCGATTTATTGGAAGAAGGTTTAGATTTACATGCAAGTCTACCCTAGGTCTTATAATTTCCTTCTACCTGTATGTAACCGGTAAATTCTAGTCTAAATAGTAATTCAGGTTAAGGGTAATCGTTTAATCCTTTAATCAATGGTTTTAAACCTTCTCACTCGCGTTGTGAATACTGAATGGCATCTACAATTGCAAAATCTTTGGATTAGTCCACTTCCTTGACATTTAGCTAGATAGCATCAATGAATGAGAATTTTAAACTTAACAATTACTACTAATAAACTGTCTGTCTTGTTGTTTGTTGCTTAAACCGTTGTATCAATAAGTAAGGAATTCTGAAATAGAAGTTTTAAAAAGGATTTAGCTGAAGCTGAAGAGTTTGTTTGGTTGAACGCGTTAATATTTCAGGAACTAATTTTGAAGTGAAAAATTATTGTTTTTGTGTTCGACAGTCATTTATCGAGGAAGGCATCAATGAAAAATGTTGCAAAACGGAAAAAAACAGGCACTTCTAGTTTTTTAATAAAATGGTGAACTACAAAAAAGTGTTTTATCTCGGGACAAACTTGACCTTCATTGGTTGGGTTTTTATGGCGGTCAAGCTGTAGATCCTGGCTACACAGAAGTTGCAGTGGTGGGAACGAGAGGTGGGAATAGCCCCGTAAGTTAGGTCTCAGAATTTACGTTATTTTTAAAATCCTGTTCTTTTCCATCTTCTTGTAGGGCATTTCCGCAAGTAAAATTTTATAATTCATACATCTACTTATAGATTTAAAAATATTTTGGCTTCGACTTTTTGTCACTTCTGGCTTCACGGATATCAACTACCAATACGCCACAAGTGTTGTTTGACCTTTCGTATGGTAATAAGTTGTATGAAATGTAGCGCAATAAAAATGACGATCTAAATTAGGATCAAAATAAAGACAATATTATTATGTTTTCAGCAACACGTCTAAAATGGCGGAAGCTTTGTAAACTTTAGACAGTCTAGATAAAAATTAAGTTATAATTATTTCATAAGATCAATGCAGTATGTTAGGTAAAATGGGTAAAAAAAGTTTCAGATTCCACCTACATTTCAAGAACTTTAAATAATTGTATTCGACATTTTTTAACAATGTTTAAATAATAAGGTAAATATCCAAAAATAATGTATGGCGAAAATATTAAAGTTATGCAAACTTAGTTTTATCATAATGTTGACCAACAAGAACAACTAGGGAACTAGGAGCTATCAATATCTATTACACAAATTGAATAGCGTCATTAAGATTTTACGCTATAGTTATTCCCATGGCAAGTTGTAAGCTTGTTTGAAGATGTGCTTTGAATACTCAGAAAATCTTAGTACAGTCAATTTCAAATAGTTTGTGACACCCAAAGTGGGAAAAAAGTTGACAACACAGCCTTATTCCAAGACGTAATACGAACTTTTCGGCTACTTTTAGGCTATTTGACGCTGACTGTATGTAGTCTTGAAATGTAGAGATACATAACTTGAACTTGAGACAAATAGGTTTAAACGTTAAAAGTTACTTTACAAGTCCTAATAATTAACCTGAAAAACTTAAAAATAACACAACTAGGCTAGAAGCTACTGTATTATCATCATAGTGAATAAACAAGAGTATTTACAGTGTAAAAGATAAGCCAAGACCTCCAAAATCTTGATTAGATATGTAAAACCACGCTTCAGTATCAGCTTAATTAATTAGAAGATAGAAAAAATTCAAAGTCATTACAAAACTTTCAAGAATTAAGAAAAAATCAATGGAATATAAATTAAAAGTAATTTTTTTCCTCGATTTTATCCTAAACCTGTCGAACTATTTCATGAAAGACCAAGATGAAAGATAGCTTTTGAATTGCTTATTTAAAAATAAGTAAACCCCATCACTGCTGCACTCTTGATGCATAAATCGATTATACAACAGATAATTGCAATAAATTAATCACACAAACACACACAATATTTTGAACGCAACGGAACGCATTTAACTCCGTCCAACGGATTCGCGCCGGTTATTTTAACACAATACGTTACAGCTTCCGTTTGTTACATAATTTTAGAAGACAAATAACTGACTGACATACTTAAATCAGTTTTGGGACATCGCATTCGTTTCGAAGCACATGTTACACGCGCGACGGACGTGCGCTCTCGTCGAGCGCTCAACGTAGACTGGCTTTGACTTGTCCTTCGTTTGTTAACTTTCACTCCATGATAATATTGCTATGCCGCCCATTTGAAAAGGACACTCATGGTTGTGTCCTGCGTTTTGTTATGCTATTTTTCAATCAGTCGCCTTGCAGGTTAGACCTAGTCCTTAGCAGGGCTAGCTAAGCTAGATTGCGTAACCAGTGTTTACAGGTATTGTTCAATATTGGCCGCACGTTGGTCGGCACCTTTGAGCAGTTCTTCTAAACAGTTTGCTATGCGGGATGCGTTCGGTGCTAAGGGATTTATTATGTCTAAGAATTCCTTATTAGAGCTTTTGATTAGTTAAGCGTGCCTAATTGTCATTTATTTATTCCGTTCTAACGACTCTGGGTATGCTAGGGTGTGGAAAACAATCGAATTGACGTTGAATTACACAATGAAGGGAAAATGATTTTACAAACATATTTTTAAATTGTGTAAATAAAAATGTTTTTCTTTTGTTGTAAATTACCTAAGTAAGATTCCTGCAATAAATATTAAAGTAAAAAGAAGCTCTACTAATGTAGAGCTCCAGTCTATTAATGTACACCTATTAGAATATTTTTCCTGAAAAATAACCAAAGATTCCGATTTGAACATGTATGTAATATAATATTTTTTTCATCATTAATTTTATCTGAGTTGATCATTTTGTTATAGCTACTACTTTATTGTAATTGATACTATGAAATCATGAAATATTTTTCATCTTATTTTTTTAACTAGGCATTCGTACTTTCATCATTTCCTTTGTGGAAAAATATGTTTTTCCTTTCAACCGGGCATCCTTCGCGCCTTGACACACAAAACCTGCTTCACCTTACACCTTCTGCCCAGTTATTTTCATACGCGGAACAGCCAAATCAAAATGGCCGGCAAAAAATACGCATTTAGTGTAAAGGACTACGCTCACGAGTCTGAAGCTATTGTTGTAAATATTTATTTATTGCACTAACGTAAGGTTTTCAGGCCACTTCCTTTTTATTGTAGGGTTATGTATCCCTTTCAAGGGCACTACACACGCATCCTAAATGCTTCCTCAGACAACTTCTAGTCAACATAATTCCCCTAAAAAGGGCCAAGGTGGTATTTAAATTTTTGACGATTAACCTGATAAACATCTTTGAATCCTGCTGGCTGGCCACACTGAATTCAATCATTTGTTTTTGATCCTTCATCATATTAATTTGATCACCGTGAGACTTTCTATGAGATGCAAAGAAGCTAAGAAAAGACTATCTGTATGTTTATTTTGGTATATCAACAACATGACATCAATTGAAAATAATAAGAACATAGTTTAATATTTATTTATATGAGAATAAATTTTATAATATTACATTTACTTAAAATGACTAAAAACTAAAATTTAAAAATTACTAATGATAAAAACTATTTACAAAATAAAAAATACTTCACCCCCAGCGCCGCAGTCAGGAATCGTGCCCAAAAGGCTGGCAGCATTGCCACGTTGAATGGCCAGGCTAATTCTCTGACCAAAATAGCTGCCAGCCTTTTGATCACCGGTCACCTCGGTGAGCCTCTTTGCCAGTTCCTTATAAAAGGAACGAGCGCTTGGACCCCATGGTCCCATAGTCTCAACCCCAAACGGCACAAATATATAACTCTCATTGAGAGCTGCATATTTGCGCCGCTTGGAGCACTCAGCCGAGGCCGCCGCCGCGCCTGCGGCAAGGGAGGTACCTCCTGTATGAGACGGAGCAAGCGTATCCGCGCATGTTGCGTCCCACACAAGAGGACGTCCCTGCTTCCAGGGAATGAGCGTCATGCCGTCAGGTCTCTTGCCGTCGTCACGGAATATGCCGTTAGGCTCTAAAACTGCTGGCACATTGACGGCGACAAGAGCTCTGCGGATGACGTCATTGATGCAGGCGTGTCGGGAGACTCGACCAGCGCTCATTTGGCATGAGAGGCCATGGTGTCCTAACTCACCGACGCGAGTACCGCAACGACAGAAGAACATTATTTGTCGAGTTTTATTTATTTATTAAAACTTGATAGAAATAAGACCGTAAGCGTCGGGCCTAAGTCGAAGGCGCGCCGGCTGCGCTCGCGCCATGAAAACTCTTGCTTTTCCCAAAAACGGTATAATGTCACGAACGGGCTCCGTGGACGGTGGCTTTACACCTTGCGTTTATTATTTTTCAGATAAATTGGAGATTTGAAGCTTAAAAAGCTCTTTTGCATCATTTAAAACGCCTAAACAGTTTCTTGCCGTCAACATCTGTGTTGGCGACAGACCTCTTTTAGATTTTATTATTTTTTACTTTTCTATTTTTGTATTTATGTTTAGAATGTTTAAATTTTCTATTGTTTTTAGTTGATATTGTTTCGTGACAATATGGCAGTGTTTCGATTTTACTCAACGGGAAAAGTGCTCTTTTGTGTAATATAAAGTTTAGTGAAGTGTTATTGTGAGTTTCATTCAATAATAGCCCTAACCTGCTCCCTCATAGTCCACAACCATCGTTGACAATCTGCGTGATCTGATGTCTCTAACATAAAGCTTCAATGTAAAAGTTAAGATCGGTACCTACTCTTCCTCCGGTACATTTTAACGTATTTCATCGTAAGAATAAAACAATTTCGATGTTTACCTTGAATTTTTTAATTGCAAAGAAAAGATATTATAGTGTTGGAACCGGAAAGCTGTTTATATGTTATCAGCAGCCGCTTTCTACAGTCCTACTTCACCTGAAATGTAGTCTTCTAAACAGCTGAAAGTTTTTCTCGCTTTATCTCGGCGGTTTGATTAGTTTTAAGCTCGGAAGGCTTGTGTAAACTTAAAGTTTAGCAAGGCTTTCAGCCCAGCCGATATGTTGTCCCGATGTGGTGGTTGGGCAAGCAACATTGGGTGTGACGTGAAAAGAGACTAAATACTAAAGAATTTGAATTTGATCTTATTGTTCATAAAGTCGTATCGTGATCGTGTCGTGCCCTGTAAAACCCGTCGCCATCCCGAGGGGTGAACGTCCTTAAAGTGTAAAAGTAAAGTTAAGGTCATAACTTTATTAATTGTACACCAATTTGACATTTATTATCATTTATTATTCCAGTGCGTAATTGCAACTTGTAGTACGCACTCGCAAATGTCAAACTGTAGCACGTAGGGTACAATGTTATAAATAATTTGGGGATAATTAATTAAAAGGGCTACTGGATGTGAAATATTGGCTGATCGATTGTTGGCGTATCGGATGTAAAGTTAGCTGAAAATGCCAGTTTGAATCTCTTGGGTTTTAATATTCAGTGATGCCCATCCAATGGACATTTGGGAGGTATGGACTTTTAACGATATGGTTATTGACATCATAGGTTCACCTGATATCTTATCTAAATATACATATATAACTCAAAGGTGACTGACTGACTGACTGACTGGCTGACTGACATAGTGATTTATCAACGCACAGCCCAAACCACTGAACGGATCGGGCTGAAATTTTGGCATGCAGGTAGATATTATGACGTAGGCATCCGCTAAGAAAGGATTTTACGAAACTCCACCCCTAAGGGGGTAAAACGGGATCCACGCGTACGAACTCGCGGGCGGCCGCTAGTACATAATATGTCTAGAACTAGATTATTGGTGTGATAACACATAATATAATAGTATGTGATAATAAGTTAGATCAAATAAATTACCTAAACTTAAAAATGTTAGCGTTAGTTTTCGTAATATTTATAACATTATAAATAACAACAATTAAACACTATTTATATTCGTTTTTTTTTCTGAAAACGAATCACAAAACCTCTACAATATTTGTTTAATCAAAATGTAACAAAAACATTATTTATCAAAATAATACATAATAAAATAATAACACACACGTACACTTCAAAATAACTGACTATTTTTAAACGGCTTTCACAATGTACTCGTATGTACTGGGCAAACATTTACTGAATCTTTTGTCCCCGACGGACCTTTACAATGGGGATGTTGCCTGGGTCAAAAAGCAAGAGTTTTAATTAGTCCGTCAGTTAACTTATCAAAAAATACTCTACTCGTATTTTTCACTTTTTCAAACTAATGAAAATTTAAAGAGATAAAGCGCCCCAAAGTTCATAAGAAGAGGCCCGTGACGTCAACGCTTGCTTAAAAATGCCGCACGTTGTGACGTCGTGCGCAACTTCAACGCACCATAACTATGTAATTATTTGTTAGATTGACAAATAAAATTATACGTGTCCAATATTTTTTGATATTAAACATTACGGACTAAAAAAATTTTTTTAGGCAACTAGCCTATTTCAGGATTATTGGGATCGTCTCTAACAATATAAACTGTTTGAATTTCATCATCATCATTATTAAAATTATTATTGTATTGCTGTTTAGTATTATCATTGGCTGCATACTGATTATAATTAAAATTAGTAGCAACAGTACTGCCTACATTATAGTTTTGATACTGAAATCCAAAGTTAGCATTGTTTACGAGAGGATACTCGTAATAATTTAGGTACATGTTACTCTGTGATTCAGGAAAGATAATACTTTTATCTTTCTTTTTAAAAGTGTCGCTAACAGCAACTTCTGTTACAGTATTTTCATCGGGGAATTTTAAGTTTTTGGCACCTCTGACATTGTTAGTGACTACATTTTCTTTTACGTTATAATCATTTGGAAAAATCCACTTCAAATTATTTACAGAATCTTCATCTTCATTAGCAATGTTACTATCAATATAAACATAATTAGGTTTGTTTTGAATGCGCTTTTCTATTCTGTTTTCATCGCCGTTATCTTTGAACCTAATATTATTAAAGCCATATTTATTTTTATTTGGTTTTCGTTTTTTGTTGTATCCATATCCATATTTGTCAGCGTAAGGATTTTGTGGTCTTGGGAACTGGTTATAAAGACCATATGGATTAGGCTGAGGTATTTGGTAATATTGAGGATTGTAGAAACCGTAGTTTTGCTGTCCAGGAACTGGCTGAAAAGGA